TTTTTTTTTTTTTTCTGCATTGGCACGTCGTGCAAGAACCGCCTAGTGAAAAAAATCGTACACTGGTGTGGGGGCAAAATTGTCTTTTTACTACAATTATATCCAAACATCTCGACAGTATGACAATTGTATTTATTGCAATTTTTTCTAAGGACCAGCTCATTTTACTTTTCTAATTAAAAAGTACCCTACTTTTTCCCACAACAAAACAAAGGAAAGAAATATACATAATCACCTTGCTTTGAATTCCACTTAATAAATATATATAAGACATATTTTTTAGTGGTATTTTGATTGAATTTAAAAAATTAACCTACTTTTCTAAAAATCAACCTCCAAAAAATTGCAGCTCTAAACTTCAAGCAGATTCAGAAAATCGTTTTAGACAACGCAAGCTAGTCGGGTTTCGTGGATTCAATCGGATCTGCTTCGTGCAACCGGTTGAATAGAGGGCAGTATAGATGGCTACCGATAACACTGACAATGACGAAAGTATTAGCTGCCAAGAATAACAAACTCGCCAGCCATAGCTGTAAAAAGACGTTCTTGCCCCTGAATTCGAGCAGGTAACCCCACATCAGCCAATGGGTTTGAGCTCCAATCCACAAAGACAAGCAAGCCAGGCCTCTCCATTTAAGCTTCATATTGCTCCATGGCAGTATTAGAGGCAATAGACAGAAAAACCACACAAAGTATTGTGCTGTTATGACCTGAACACACACACACACACACACACACACACACACACACAAAAAAAAAAAAGAAAAGAAAAGAAATTATAAGAACTACAATAGTAAAATAACAATAGAGTAAGATATTTCATGGTCCGACTAACCTTGTTAAATGCTACGAATGCCAGTGTCTGCAGAAAGAAACAGAAAGGCAAGTCGAGCGCAAAGCGGAAAATCAAAATAAGCTGGACTATAAATTGAGGCAGAAAGGCAATCAGCTTTTCCAGGGTCGAAAACTCGCGTTCGTAGTGAATGTATATGTGGTAGAAGTATATGGAGAAATTGTGGCGTGGGTCCGTACGTGTGAGATGGTAAAGCAGGGCCTCGTGCAAGAAATCCCATCCATATAAATAGAATGACAATCCGGTCAAGATGAAGAACGTAGATGCTGAGATAATCCCAAACACAAGTCTTCTCCAAGTGAATATGCTTATGAGAAAGTTAAAGATATAGTTGGAATAAGTGATTTTTGAGTTCTTCCAGGCCCCGGATGTGTTTGACGATCTGGAACTCCAATGCACAAGGGATGGCTTTTTACCAGGTCGAAAATGAAGGGGATCAAGAACTAAGATGATAGGTATTGCGTATATTATTGGATATATTCTCATGTGGACAACAAGCCCATACCAGAATGCAGCCTGCAAGAGACGATCTGTGGTCCAAAAACGAGAGTAGAGAAATTAACATCTGGGTATGAAGTACAGCTCAATAGTACTGCATCATTTACGTGTACTAATACAAATGCTTAGTGAAGCATGATTTTTTCATTGTTGAAGACAAAAAACAAGTGGGGGAAATGAAACAAATATATTGCCTGCACTGGTTGATGTAGCCGAAAGCGGAATAATTTTCCCAGATATAAGTTCATGTGACACACAATGTTTATTTTATTATTCTCACGCTATCAGCATCACGAATATTACGTCTGAATATCAGCAAGGACAATTCATTTCTCTAATGCTGTAAGAAGAATTATACAGATTTCCTGTTGCATGATTAAATTTTTGTATTGCATGCAGCTTAAGAAACAGAGATTGACATGAATAGGGAAGCAGGTGTACCAAAAAACAACAATATGAAGATATTGGGTTTAAGTATAGAAAGCGTACCATTCATCAAACACATTAAGATCCAAAGAATCATGGAGCAAACAATGGGCTCACAGTTGCCACGCGTTCCAATGGTGAAGGTAAATGGGTTGAAAAGCCATAGCATTGTGGAATAAGTGCAGATATTCTCAGGAACCCCTCGTAACTTCAAAATTCTGTGGATAAGAAACCCCACCAAAAGATCTGTCGTGTGTATGATACATCAGGATCTGATTATCATTGACAATGTATTACCACTGTGTAGTGCATATTGAACAGATTCATAACATAACATAAACATACAGCATTAATATGCCACTATTCCTAATGTGGGCATATGCTCGCCAATATTTTCAAACAAATGCGCTAACTTCAATAATGAGGTCCCTTTTCCATTGAGCTATTTTTTTTTTTTTTTT